CATTAACAGTACAATAATGAACTAATACAATGGGCGAGGGAAGAAGAGAGGAGGGAAAGAATTCCTAAATCAGGCTGGGTGCGGTGGCTCATGCCTGTAATCCCAGCACTTTGGGAGGCCAAGGAAAGCAGATCATTTGAAGTCAGGACTTTGAGACCAACATGGTGAAACCCCATTGCTACTAAAAATACAAAAAAATAGCTGGGCGTGGTGGCAGGCACCTGTAATCCCAGCTGAGGCAGGAGAATTGCTTGAGCCTGGGAGGCAGAGATGGCAGTGAGTCAAAACTGTGTCACTGCACTCCAGCCTGGCCGACAGAGTGAGACTCTGTCTCAAGAAATAAAAATAAATAAAATAAAAATAAAAAGACACACACCCTTTCCCCTTTTTGCACTGCATCTAATCACATATAATGCTATGGGATAGGAGGTAGGACTCCACTCGCGGGGTGCGGCTCAGATACCGACCAAATTGAGGACTAGCCAAACCAAGGCCGGGCGGAAGCAGTTTTCCATAAGATGTGTCGGCCAGTGTGCCATGGCAGTTTACCATTGTCATGGAAACACCTGGGAGTCACTGCCCTTTCCACCGCAAGGACTTGATGACCCAAAAGTTCCTTTCCCTGCCCTAGAAATTTCTGCATAAACTGTTTCTTTTTTTTTTTTTTTTTTTGAGATGGAGTTTCGCTCTTGTCGCCCAGGCGGGAGTGCAATTGCGCCATCCCGCTCACTGCAACCTCCGCCTCCCAGGTTCCAGCGATTCTACTGCTTCAGCCTCCTGATTAGCTGGGTTTACAGACACCCGCCACCACGCCTGGCTAATTTTTTGTATTTTTAGCAGAGACGGGGTTTCACCATGTTGGCCAGACCGGTCTCAAGCTCCAGACTTCAGGTGATTCACCCGCCTCAGCCTCCCAAAGTGCTGGGATTACAGGTGTGAGCCACCGCGCCGGACCCTAAAGTGCTTTTTAATCTGCGCATAGTGAAAAGCGGGTATAAATATGGCTGCAGAAGTGCCCTGAGCTGCTGCTCTCTCTGCCTACGGAGTAGCCTTGCTTTGCAGGAGCTGTTATCGAGTTATGACACTGCCTCTTCAATAAAACTATTTCCTTCTACCTCGGGCTTGCTCTCGAATTCTTTCCTGGGCAAAGCTAAGAACCCTCACCAGCTAATCCTCACTTTGGGGCTCACCTGTCCGGCATCAAGACCATTACCTTTGGGGTTATCATTATCATCTCATTCACATCTCTACCAGACAAAAACTATTTGCGCCTTACCCATTTTTGATAGGTCAGCCTCTGACATTACAGACTCTTGGCCCTAATCTAGAACAATAAGAAATGAGAGAAAATTCTATTCCTCTAGAATGGCATTTCTCAACCAACAAAGAACGGACTAAGCCCTAATGCCCAGTGCATTCTTTGTTGATAATCCACTTCTCTGCTCTGCAACTAGAGTGCTGCTAGTTGTGTACTATCTGTGGGAGAATTGAGAAAATAGTCCCTCCAACCATTTTCTGTGTTCCAAGAATCAAGTGACCCTGATTTTTCAGAATTATTTTGCCCTGTTTCCAAGTTTTGAATAATCTTTTTTCTTTTCTTTCTTTCTTTTTTTTTTTTTT